CATATCCTTATGTGTTCAATCTATATTAACAAGAAGATAATGTCATAGTACATTAGAATAAAGGGAACAAGACGAACTTGAAATCATACCATAAACTGTTCAGAATTTACTAACATCGACAGAGATTCATAACTTCAACTGTCATAGTACATAACCTACTTCATAACACCAACTGTCATAACATTCACATAATGGACTTCATAGAAGTCCATACCACCAACCACAAAAATAAATATACTGTCATAGCAGTAATTACATGAACAAGCAAAATAACAACTGTACTTCAATGACTTTCACTAGCAAAATAGCATCAAAATAGCAGTAATTCACTAAAACTTTCACCACTTAAATGACTTTCCACCTTTAGTTCAAGTCACATTAGTTTTGTGACTTGCCATTACCCTTTCTTGTCTTTATCTTGGCCATCTTTTCGAGCTGATTTCCTATTATTGCTTTCTTACTATTCTAGGTAAGATTCTTAGCTGAGTATGGTAGGTTTGAGGGCACACTGACACCAGATAAGTCACCAACGAAATTGATGGTCCTTGTTATAGCTGGTAAGGTTCCTTGCTGTCTCACAAGCAGTCTTGTCCTTTCTTCAGAGAAACTACTTGGCCTAATATCTCGGGCAGAATCTTATTCAAAATTGGGGAACTCAAAATCTGGAATGACACTGTTGTTGGGAGGTTGCCTTTGCACTAAAGGAGTTGGCATAAAATGAAAGTTTGTGTCTTGAACTGGATGATTTGACTGACTTCCTTGACTGAACTGTGGTGCTGAAAGTTGTATTTCCTCCTCAGATGCTATATTTGCAGCAAGTGGTGACATGGGTTGTTCATATTGCTGTCGTCATCTCTTAAACATCTTTGTCTCTTTGCCTGCTTGCCCTTTTTCTTACTTGCCATTGGTTGCTTTCCCTTAAAATGCTATTTAAGTTAAAAGAAATAGAATCGCCATAGTTAGAGAAAATAGGTAAAAAAAAAAAAACAGAATGGACAGTATTGAAAATAAAGAATATTACCCTTGCACAGCCTCTAGCATTATGTCCAGGCTGATCACATGTGGAACACTTCATTGTCCTCCCTTTTCTGGACTGCATCCATTTACCTTGTCTATTGACTGTTTCATTTTTTTCTCTTGTTCTTTCGACTTTAGGCCTGCCAGCCATCTTCATAAATTCTGGTGGTTCCATTTCATGAGATGCTTCTACCTTCAAAATTTTTTCTCCCCTTACTGGTTGAAGCTTATATGAATAGGCTAGGAGATAGGCCTCTTTGGTGTACCACCAGTATATTTTAGTCAAGGGATTCATCTTGATGTGATATATGGCTTTGATTGCATGATGACATGGGATTCCATTAAGGTCTCATGTCCTACATGTGCATCTCTTGTTCACCATATTCACTTTGCGTCTGTCACCATCTACACTCACTTCATACCCTTCTTGACCATTGGAATGAACATGACACTTATTTGCAATCTTCAAGTATTGGCTATACAGTTGCATGGTTTGTGGACTAAAGTCATTACTCCATGTCATTACAGCAGATTCATGTTTCCTTAGCATGTTCATAACCTTTACTCTAATATCCTCAAGCATCTTGATAATTGGCTTGAATCTTGCTTCTTTGATCCATGGATTGAAGGACTCAATTAGATTGTTGTCCACTGAGTAGTTCTTGTAAACAGTGTCAAAGTATGCTATACTCCAACTTTGGGGTGGGTACTTCATCAAATCTTCAACAGCATCCTTGTCATCTTCACCCATTGTCCCATATTCCTTAATTTGTCTTTAAAATCTTCTTCATATGTGCTCCATGCAACCCACAAGAGGTACTTCTTATATTCCCCATGTCCCCATCTTTTGCACCAATTTGCCTCTATGTGTCTTCACAATATTTGTGGTGTGCCTCAGGAAGAACCAAGTGGATTGAATCAATCAAACCCTGAAAATGAGAAAACATAAAAGAGATGCATCAGTAAAAGAGATGCATCTATTAGGTTCATACCTTTTGCATATCTGATATAAATGTGATCCCTTCTCCCATTTTGAGGTCCAATGAATGTTGTAGCAGTCTTAAGAACCAACTCCATGTCACTTTGGTTTCTTTATCAACAATAGCCCAAGCTAGGGGATAAAAGTACCTCATGGAGCTTGAGCAACAGCTACTAACAGTTGACCCTTGCATTTCCCTTTCAAAAAGGTTCCATCCAAGCCAATGAATGATCTCAACCCACTCTTAAACCCCATTTTAAATGCATGAAAACATATATACATTCTTAAAAATCTTCTTTTTTCTTTACTAAGTGCATCCTTTTATATGTTAATCACCACATCTGTTCCAGGATTACTAGACCTTAATTCATTAGCATAAGCCTCAAGCTTGTTGTAATCATCTGCAAAACTACCCTCCATTTTCTCCAGGATCATTCTCTTGGCTCTCTTACACTTTGAATGACTAACATTGATGTTAAATGCAACTTTTACACTTGCGATCATCTCCTTAATTTTAATTTTAGAATTATCTTGCAGCCCTCTCTTAAAGTAAGCAGCTATAGTTTTTGCATTTACCCTGTGGTTATCATATGCAGTATTACACTTGTGTTCTTTCTTTAAAATCTTGAATTTAACACCAGGACCTTTAGAGTCTTTAGAAATATGACAAACAAAGGGGAATTCTTCATCTAAACATCTGTACCTAGGCTTTTGGGGGCAACTCTTATGTTGTTTTAACCCATAACCATTAGCAAGAGAATACATGTTGATGAATTTTCTAACTTATGGAATGTCTTTGAATGTCATGGACTTGTGTAACTCCTTATAATCAGTCAACTTATCAGATATCTTCCCCTCTTTTTGTGTATTAAGTCTTTGTAATGAATCAGAATCACTATCAGAACAATCTGAAGAATCAGAAGAATGACAGACATGTTCTTCACTGTCATATGAACTACAGTCAGTAGCAGCCTCAAGTTCTGATGTGTTTGACTCAATGTGCTGGACTATATTTTGAACATTAATACTCAACTCATATTCATCTACAGCAAAAAAGTCAATAACATTAAACTGATCACTGACCAAAGACAGTAGACTCCTAACACCTTGATCACTCTCTATTTCATAATATCTACCAGAAGGCCCATGCACAATTACTTGTTGAACTTCAATAAACCCCAACTTAGAAGTAAATTAATTTACTAAATAGTTGTAAGACAGTTGATCAGAGTTATAACCTTTAACAGTGTGCACAAGCTTCCTTGAGTATAACACTTGTGGACTATTTATCTAATCACCACCATAATGAAAGATCAGATCCAATAAGACCATTGCATATAAGCTGCAGAATAAGCAAGGGAAAAAATTAACAGAAAGTAATTTCACAATACAAATAAAATGTAGAAACACAAGTATAAAAAAATATTACAAACTATATAATATGCTGACAATGTGTATAACCAAATGTGGACCATCCAATAAAGACAGAAGAACCACATAAAGTTAAGATAAAGATACATAAAGAAACAAAAATATAGTGGGCTGCCACACATGAAGGAGTCAGTGAAGACACAACTACAATAAACAAAGTGATGATGGGGGACCCAAGTCTATAAACAAAACAAAAAATAACAGAATTATGACCCACTTATCTCTTAACTCAACGTATGTGTATAAGAAATAGGGGACCAAACACCCAAAAATCAGAGCAAAAGAAACAGATCCAACACAAAGGGGACCCCTTTTTTGTTAAAGACCATATATGTAGGACCACCAAAATTGAAACCCTAAACCAGAACAAGTAATCAATATACCAGATAGGGATCATTACACTACAAAATACTAACCCACAAACCACCAGTAATAAAGAACAAAAGAAGAAAAACATACTTAGGGTTAAATCGAGTATGAACAAACCACATGCAAACAAAAACAACGACAAACAAACACACCTTGTAACTAAAAGAATACATATCTAAATGAATCATTTAAAACCCTAGTCAAAGAAACAAAAAATTGAAACAAGGAGACGATATGCTTCAGTTGATACCAAAAGCAAAGCAAAGGGATGACGAATTACAGTTTTTAACACAGAAATTGGTACCTTCGTATGCATCCACGATGAAGACGAACGTACAGTGAAGAGAGTAGGTGAGAGCTCTTTCATTTTTTCTATCAGCAACTGAAGGTTTTGACTATTAAAACGGGTTGGGACTATTTTAATAAGAGTAATTAACGGGTTATAAGGGTCGAGCGGGTTATTATAAAGGTGGGACGGGTTTCTAAAATAAATGGGCCAAAAATTGCCTAGTTGGCAAGTTATTTTGGGTGTCCCGGTGCCACGTAGGAAATCTGTTAGGGTTAGGGACAGATTTATATACTTTACTAATGGTAGGTTTGATTTTGGACGAGAAGTAGAAACGAGTATTAACGTGACTAATTTTCAATAGTAGAGGTACAATTTTTGCCTTTTTCCCATTTAAAATTGCCTCCAAATCAAACATTCTGCATCGTGTTGGACTCTTTGAAGAATTATGAATTGCATTTATTCTCCACAACCAGAAGTGGACCTACACAGGGCCTTGGGGGTCACGGAAATCCGTTAGCCTCGACAAAAACCCTATATATATATATATATATATATATATATATATATGTAGCTGTAAATACTTTAGTGACCGCTTAAATACTTTTCTTGCCCCCCACAATAACGAAAAGTGGGCTGGAGCGATGGTATTGTTTGTTGCATGAGTTCCGTCACTTAGTTGACGTCCCGGGTTCAAAACCAGCTTCCTATAAATTTACCTTTTAAATTGTTTTCCTTTTTGTTTTACTTTTTATAACGGGGAATATTCTAGTACTACTGTACAACACTATATAATAGTTGATTGATTTATATTTTTTATTTTTTCTAATCAGAATTTAATTATATTGTAATAGTTGTACATAATAATCAAGTTTATTATTTTATTCTTCTCCAAATTCCTACTCCTAAAATGAAAAACCCCAAAAGGCCAAAACCCAAAACCGTCACTCCTCACTCCAAAATAGAGTAGGGAGTACCAACCTTTCTTTCTCAATTCTTCTCATTACTTTGAAAAAGTAGCAGACATCAAATCTTTGGTTAGTGCTGCTCTTACTTTGAAACTTTTTAATTTATTTATAAGAGCATGAAGAATTGGAGATGGAGATTATAAGATTTTATTTAGCCTCAAATTTTTGGTCAACAATTGCCAGCAAAGGCATTCTTAATAAACTCTAAATCTATTATCCAAATGATTTTGTTGAGCTTCCATTTTCTCTCAAACTGAGTGGTCCTTTGATTTATAGACTATATATTATTCATGGATTCTGATTTACAACATGTTTGAAAATTAGATAACTCTTAAAAAAGTTGCACTATCCATAATGTGATTAACATTTGGAATATAGCGTCTAGGTAACACTATTATTGAATATCACTGTCCATTATTAATGTTGTGTGGTTTTCGAATATAACTCTATTTAGCATGTTTCTTAAGGTGTTGGCTTGTTCCTATTATGTTCTCTGTTTCATGTTTCACATCCAAGAATTGCTTAATTATTGTAGTATTTGCTTTATTCTTGATAAAAGGTTTGTGACTCTTCTATTGGTGTTGTGTTTGCTTGTATTCTTGATGGACTCTTAAATTTATCGAACCCGTTATTTTGTAGGAAGTTTTTGTTCTTGTGAATTGAGATGGATGTATTTTTGTCAAAGTTTAATTCTTATTGAAAATTTATTCCAGTTTAATCCATGTGTTACGCAGGTCAATTGGGAAGTCTGGATGAAATCAAAGCGTAAGCTCTTACTTTATTTTTGCCTTTGACTTAGCAAGTTTATATTATATAGTGAATTATGCTGCTTAATTATTTGGTCTATCCTAGCGTTTATATAGATTCTTTTATTGGCTAATAAGGTTTTGGGTAAGTCACTCTAATGGTAGTGGTGCCCCGTCATATTAAAATCCTGTGTTCGCCTCTGTCCACAACTCAAAACATTCTTTCATGTCATTCATCTTTTTATTAGTTCACTAGTAATAACAGTCTAGTTATAAGTAACTTTGAAGCTTGAATATGTATTTTAAATTCAGAATGTCAATCTGAATTGCAATTTGCTAGACGAGAATTGTCTTCTGGTATCTGGATCTATAGTTTTCAGTAGGTCTCTATCACCTTTGTGTTCTGCCCCGTGGTGAAGCCAGAATTTTCTGTACGTGCTTGCTTATATAATGTGAAATAAACATTGAATGTATGAAATAAACATCGAATGTATGATTTTCATGTTATAGAAATTAATAGAATAGCACATGAACTTATGGATAGGTGGATGAATTATCTTATCGATAGTACATGATTCCTTCCACTTCTTTGTGCTGTATTTAACTATTGCAGGCTAGGAGAGGAGTATGCGACATGCAATTATCTTTAGACCGGGGAACTATTTCCTTGGAGTTAATGCTTGTCTTGATGTGATGTGGAGGGTGTTTACTTTGTACATTAATTAGTTCTTTGGCAATGCCCTTGTACCTATTCAATCAAATTATAAATTACTAAAAAGAAAAATTGTAGTTCTCGCTATAAAGTTTTTAATATGTGGGGCTCTTTTTTTTTTTTTGGTTTGTGGGTGGGGGGAGGGGGGGTTGGAGGAGGGGGCGGTGGGGAGGGAGGGAGTATAGGGGAAAGGGGGGGAGAGAGAGGGATAGACTCAAAGCCTAATTGCGCCCTTTAAGACGACTCATCTCACATCTTAATTTTATGATTGACATTCATTTTTTCCGTGCGTCAGCACTCAACAGTGTCGACAAAAGAATCCTTTTTCGCTTCAGCAGTTGGCACCGATTTTTTTTGGGTTGCAAATTCAGCTACATTATTGTCAGGCAGTGGTACTCCTTTCTTGAATATGTTCAAGCTGCTACTTTCCATGTTAGTGCAGTACTCATGTCCCAATTAATGAATCCTTCTTGGCTCTAGCAAAGAAGGATCGGTCGGTTATTTCAGTATGAGTTTTGTTGAGCACGAGTGGCGGACCAATGTCTTAACCTTTTAGGATCATGAGATGAGCTACGAGGAATCTTCTTCCACCATTATAAGATATTTCTTGTAATAGCTTTGCATTTTTGCAATTAGACAAGAGTTAGACTTGACATAGTACCTGTATAACCTAGTTTAGTAATGGAAAGTCCATTCAGATTAATGTGACAATAGTAATTTTACGAACTTACAGTTATACTTCCTATGTCAAATTCGTGTAACATAATTTATTTATTTTTTAAATATAAAATATACATTATGGACTAACAAGAAAACTTACGAACGGAGGGTGGTGACCAATTGGTAAAGTTATGTGAAAATAACCCTAATTACTCGTGTGCTTAGGTTATTTACATGGATTTTCTCCAAACAGGAATGTTAAAAAAAAAAAACCAGTGCTTTCAGGTGCCTCGGACTAAGAATTTGGAAGTGGCAAGCAAATTGTCTGGCGTAAGACCATCTCTAACCCAACACCAATTTTAACACCAAACATCATTTTAGTGTAAGATTTGGTAATTTTTTGCTCCAACTCAATATCATTTTGGTGTGTGAATGGTGTTACATCAAATTTGATGTAACACTATTCATCAACACCATTACTATTCACCATTATTTTAACATTATCTTTTATTATATAACTCTTTCAATTTAACATATTATAATTTTGTAATTAATTATAGTTTTTATGTAATATCTTTATAATATTAATTTTATATTTTATTTTTGGTGTATAATTTTTATAAATTAATTTTCCTATATTTTATTTTTATAAGTTGATTTTATTATAAGTTATAATTGTATAAAAATTACAACAACCGTTGGATGGATTTCATCTTAATCTCAACCATCGGCTGGATTTGCAATCTCGTTTTGCAATTATTACAGGGCCGTCACGTTTTTGGAGGAAAGAAGTGCTCCATGATATATTAACTACATGTATTATATTGCACAACATGATAATAGAGGATGAACGTGATCTTAATGCACCAATTCAAGATGATTGGGAATGTCCACCTCCAACTGTAGATATGATAGTAGATGAAAATCATCAATTTGAGCAATTTTTAGCTCGACACAAAAAAAATCAGGACAAAGATGCTCATTTTGCACTTCGTAATGCATTAATAGATCATTTATGGGAGCATACTAGAGGTGAAAGTTGAATTATCTAATATTTAATATGAATTTTACCATAATGTAATGTATTGAATTATCTTGTATCTCAATGATTTCACTTTTATTTGAATTATACGTTTGTATGCGGTAGAAATCGGAGAGCTCGATTTCTAAGATTGGATTACACTCTGAGTCCGAGTTCTGGAAGCTCGAAGTAAGATTCAAGCCAGGCCCGGATGAGCACACCTCGAGAAGCAAATCGGGGACCCGTCATGATCTGCCTCGAGGGAAGTACAATTTCGAGGACACTCAAGAAAGAGCGGGAATTTCCAAGAACACGTGGGTCAGGGTATAAAGTAAGGGATAAGATGTGTACAAAATAGTACAAGTCCGTACTAGGTTGTTATACAGCTGTACCAATAGAATTCTTTACCATAATTGGGAATGTACCATATTAGGATTTTCCCCTCCTATATAAAGGGGACCCCAATCATTTGTAAGGAGATCTCATTCTCTGCAATAGAACATTCTACTCTGCTTTTCTTGTTTACCGTGCTCAACAATTGTTCTTCAGCTTTATTGTCTTTACTTTATTGTTCATACTTTATTGCTTAGCTCACCTCGAGGCCCCTGAGATAATCTAGCCCGAGGTTCTTATTGCTCTAACAACACTGGTTTGGTCCATCAATTCTTCTTACTTAAACTTAATATTATTTGTACATTCACTAGTATTGGAATAAATCACATATCTTTAAAACCACAAATCATATTTAATTGTTACGCACATTTTTCGAGGTAAACAGTTTGGCACCCACTGTGGGGCTGAAGATAATAGTGATTATTTTAGTGCTAGTTTTTTATAACACACGTTATTCTTCACACTTTTTCTTGTCAAAGATTCTTTGATTTCAGGCTAAGATATGTCTAGCACACAAAACGCACCTGCTCACGACGGTGAGGGACTCGGAGAAAATAGCGGTATAGAGGTCGATGCACCACTCGTAAACCCTGAGGGAGTGCCAAATATGGAGCCAGTTGACATCAGTTCGCATAACGCTCTAAACACGGACGCAGGCACAGACCCTGTAAGAAATGCACACAGGGAAGCCCGAGCCGGATGCCAGGAAACACGAGGAATGGAAGAAGGAAGAGTCAGCCTCCAAGTGATATTCGAGATGCTGCAAGCTCAGCAAGTGGCCATCGCTCAACTTCAGAGTCAGAACCGAACTCCAAACACCGCCGAACCAGTGAACGCCAGGCATGCTGAACCAGCACTTTAAAGGCCCGATGAAAGCGGCTCGAGGACTGACCCCACAATCATGAAAATGCTCGAGGAACTGACTAAAAGGATCAAGTTAGGAGAAAAAAAGATAGAAGACAACAATAAGAAGGTGGAAACTTATAACTCCCGGGTAGACCAGATACCGGGAGCACCTCCAGTTTTGAAAGGTCTAGACGCCAAAAAATTCATACAAAAACCTTTCCCCCCAAGTGCGGCTCCAATGCCCATTCCCAAGAAGTTTCGCATGCCCGATATACCAAAATATAATGGAACAACTTACCCTAACGAGCATATTACTTCATACACTTGTGGAATCAAAGGAATTGACTTGAATGATGATGAGATCGAGTAGTATTATTGAAAAAGTTTGGGGAAACACTATCAAAAGGAGCTATGATCTGGTATCACAACTTAGCTCCTAGCTCTATTGATTCATTTGCTATATTGGAGGACGCACATACGTCGGGGCCATAAAGGTGGCCACAAGAAAATCGGACGTCTTCAAAATAAAACAAAGGGATGACGAGATGTTAAGGGAGTTTGTGTCCCGATTTCATATGGAAAGAATGGAATTACCACCGGTCTCCAATGACTGGGTAGTTCAGGCCTTTATGCAAGGTTTGAATGAAAGAAGCTCGATTGCATCTCGACAGCTAAAGCAGAACTTGATAGAATATCCAGCAGTGACATGGTCAGATATGCACAATCGTTATCAGTCAAAAATTAGGGTCGGGGACAAACAGTTGGGAGCCCCCTTGGGCTCAGTTCATCCCAACAGATTCGCAGCCAAGCCCCCGAGGGACACAAACCGGGGATCAAGATTCAACAAAGAACGGTATCAACCATATGCCGATCGAAGGAACAACGGCCCAAGCCACAACACCTCTCGGAGCAATCGAAGAAATGACCGAGGTCAAGGTTCTCGAGGACTCATGAGCAAGAACGGGTTCGATAAGCACACCGTACCCGCCGAGGTCCCTCAATTATCAGAGTAGAACTTCAGCATAGACGCATTAGGGATCGTCTTAGCTATTGGGAGAATCAAAGATACTAAGTGCCCAGGCCAATACAGACCGACCCCTCCCAAAGGAACCCGAACTTGATGTGCAAGTATCATGGCACACAAGGTCATGAAACGGAGGATTGCAGGCAGCTAAGGGAAGAAGTGGCTAGATTATTCAATGAGGGCCACCTTCGAGAATTCGTAAGTGATCGGGCTAAGAACCACTTCAGAGAGAGAGATACAGGTAGGAAGAATGAACCTGAAGAACCTCAACATGTCATTCACATGATCATCGGTGGAGTTGACGTCCCACAAGGACCTATATTCAAACGCACCAAAGTATCCAATACAAGGGAGAAACGGACTCGGGATTACATGCCCGAGGACACCCTCACATTCAGCGAGGAAGACATCGAGGCCTTATCTCAGTCTTACAACGATGCACTGGTAAGTTCTATCCTTTTAAATAAAGTTTAAGTTAAACGTAATCTCGTGGATCCAGGTAGTTCGGCAAATATAATCAGGTCAAGGGTCGTAGAGCAGCTCGGGCTGCTCGATCAAATCATACCAACATCTCGAGTTTTGAATGCCTTTAACATGGCAAGTGAAACAATGAAGGGGAAATCATCCTCCAAGTCAACGTGGCCGGAACCATACAAGACATCAAATTTCATGTCATCGAAGTTGACATGAGGTATAATGCTTTGCTTGGAAGGCCGTAGATCCATAGCATGAGGGCGGTGCCATCGACCCTTCATCAGATGATGAAGTTTCCAACAAAGGATGGCGTTACAGTATATGGAGAGCAGCATTCAGCTAAGGAAATGTTTGCAGTGCACGACTTGGCATCAGTATCGGCACCATCCATATTGGAAAAGTCAAAGGACAAACATGTGGCCAAATAGCAATCACAGCTCGTGCCCTCGGTTGAGCCCGAGGGACAAGTGTTCGATGAACAGGTGGCTGAGGACGAAGAAGAAGATCTCCTCATCCCCCGAGCCTTCGTTGCCCCCGAGGAATCGGATGCAATAAAGTCCATGGTCGAAGAACTCGAGCATGCCACATTGATCGAGCATCTTCCAAAAACGAAAGGTATAGCTGGGGATGGGGTTAACCCCCGAACTCAGGAAAAAACTCATTCAGTTTCTAATCAATAATATTGATTGCTTCTCCTGGTCCCACTTAGATATGATAGGGATCCCACCGGAGATAACTATCCATCGACTAAGTGTCGATCCCAGATTTAAATCGATGAAGCAAAAGAGGAGACCTCAGTCCGAGGTAAAGCATGCATTCATCAAAGAAGAGGTAACCAAACTTCTCGAAATAGGACCCATCAGGGAAGTAAAATATCCCAAATGGCTAGCTAACGTAGTGGTAGTCCCTAAAAAGGGGGAATAAACTTAGAATGTGTGTAGACTACAAAGATTTGAACAAAGCATGCCCTAAAGACTCTTTCCCATTGCCCAATATCGATCGGTTGATTGATGCTATGGCCGGCCACGAGATCCTTACCTTTCTCATGCCTACTCCAGGTACAACCAAATTCAAATGAACCTGGAGGACCAGGAAAAGACTTCATTCATCACGAAGTATGGTACGCATTCTTATAATGTAATGCCCATCGGGCTAAAAAATACAAGAGATCAACGCCTAGTTAATAAGATGTTCGAACATCAAATAGGCAAATCCATGGAAGTTTATATTGATGACATGCTAGTTAAGTCCCTGCGCGCAGAGGACCATTTGACCCATTTGCAGGTGACGTTCGATATCCTAAGAAAGTACAACATGAAGCTCAACCCCGAGAAATTCGCTTTTGGAGTCGGCTTGGGTAAGTTCTTGGGATTCATAGTGTCAAACAGGGGTATCGAGATCAACCCCGATAAAATCAAAGCCCTCGAGGAAATCACCATAGTCAACAATGTGAAAGTTGTGCAACGGCTGACCGGACAGATAGCTGCCCTGGGCCGATTTATCTCGAGGTCATCAGATCGGAGCCATCATTTCTTTTCCCTACTCAAGAAGAAGAACAACTTCGCATGGACTCCGAAGTGCCAACAAGCCTTGGAAGAATTAAAACGATATCTCTCGAGCCCACCCCTGCTCCATACTCCGAAGGAGGATGAAACACTCTAATTGTATTTAGCCGTGTCCGAGGTAGCGGTAAGTGCCGTGTTGGTTCGAGAAGAGCAAGGTACGCAATTTCCTGTCTATTATGTGAGTCGGACCCTAGGAGATGCTGAAACCAGGTATCCACATTTGGAAAAGTTAGCTCTTGCATTAATAAGCGCATCTAGGAAATTAAAACCATATTTTCAATGCCATCCTATATGTGTACTGACTATGTACCCACTTCGAAATGTCTTGCAAAAACCCGAGTTATCGGGCAGTTGGCCAAATGGGCCGTCGAGCTTGGAGGATATGATATCGAATCAGCCTTGAACGGCTATCAAGTCTCAGACTTTGGCAGACTTCGTGGCCGATTTTGCGCCTGCCCTCGTACCCGAAGTAGAAAAGGAACTCTTGCTAAAAATGGGTACGTCATCGAGGGTATGGACCCTTTTCACAGACAGTGCCTCGAATGTGAAAGGATCCGAGCTCGGCATCATTTTAAAACCACATACGGGCAGTGTCATTAGGCAATCTATTAAGACTTCTAAATTGAAACGAGTCCGAGTATGAGGCCATGATTGCAGGTCTCGGACTAGCCAAGGGCCTTGGGGCAGAAGTCATCGAGGCAAAGTGTGACTCCCTTTTGGTAGTAAATCAAGTAAACGGGAGCTTCGAGGTTCGAGACGATCGAATGCAGACGTACTTAGACAAACTTCAAGTGGCATTGCACCGCTTTAGGGAATGGACACTGGAACATGTACCTCGGGAGCAGAATAGCGAGGCCGATGCACTTGCAAACTTGGGGTCATCGGTAGAAGAAGATGATATCGTCCCGGGGACTGTCATCCAACTATCGAAGTCGGTGATCGAAGAAGGCCATGTAGAGATTATTCAACAAGTTTAATGTGGGATTGGAGGAATAAGTACATGGATTACTTGAAGCATGGGAAGCTCCCCGCGGACCCAAAAGAGTCAAGAACACTTCGAGCCAAAGCAGCTCGATTCTCACTCGATGAAAATGGAACGTTGTACAGAAGAACCTTCATGGACCAATGGAAGTATGCTTGGGACCCGGGGACACTGATTATGTATTACGGGAAATCCACGAGGGCACCTGTGGGAACCATTCTGGTGTAGACTCTCTGGTTCACAAGGTGATCAGAGTAGGGTATTATTGGGATAGCATGGAAAAGGATACCAAGGATTTCGTTCAAAAATGTGATAAATGCCAAAGATTTGCACCGATGATCCATCAACCCGGTGAACAACTCCAATCGATCCTATCCCCTTGGCCATTCATGAAATGAGGGATGGACATCGCCGGCCCCCTACCAACGGTGCCAGGTAAAGCTAGATTTATTTTGTTTATGACTGACTACTTCTCAAAATGGGTTGAAGCGCAGGCCTTCGAGAAGGTAAGAGAAAAAGAAGTCATCGAATTCATATAGGACCACATCACATGTCGGTTCGGGATACCCGCCGAAATAACATATGACAATGGGAAACAGTTCATCATCAGCAAAGTAACAAAATTCCTTGAGGACCATAAAATTAAAATGATCCTATCAGCACCTTACCACCCAAGTGCAAATGGTCAAGCCGAGTCCACAAATAAAACCATCATTCGAAACTTGAAAAAAGGTTAGATGATGAAAAGGGGAAATGGAGAGAAGTGTTTCCCGAGGTGCTATGGGCATATCGAACGACGTCGAAGTCGAGCACGGGGGAGACCTCATTTTCTTTGGTATATGGGTCCGAAGCTTTGATCCCAGTCGAAGTCAGGGAACCTAGAGTCAGGTTTTAGTATGCCACTGAGGACTCAAATCACGAAGCTATGAACACTACTCTCGAACTACTCGATGAAAAACGTGAGGTCGCATTAATTCGAATGGTCGCACAAAAACAAAGAATCGAAAGGTATTACAACAGAAGGACGAACATTCGATATTTTGGAGTCGGAGACTTAGTCCTAAGGAAAGTCACTCTCAACACTCGAGATCCAAAAGAAGGGAAACTAGGCCCCAATTGGGAAGGACCGTACCGTGTCCTCGGAGTCGTAGGGAAAGGATCCTACAAACTTAGCACAATGGAAGGCGAGCAACTACCAAACAATTGGAATGTATCGTTACTCAAGCGATATTACTACTGAGGTATGACCTTCTCCTCTTTTCCATTTGTATTTAAAACTAACTCCTTGCAGATGTTCGATCAGAGATATCGAGGCACCTTTCAGCTCGAAGACCTTGGGTTTTAAAGCATGTGTTGCACTCTTTTTCCCTTGGACCGGGTTTAATCCCAAGTGGGTTTTTCCGGCAAGGTTTTTAACGAGGAAACACATATATGCTACCTAAGGAACATTTGACAAGTATTCAAGGCTTCTTTTCAACCAACCTCGAATACTGGGGGGCATCACCCTCGGAGAAAGATACATCATACCTAAGAGGGAGAACTTTGTAATGGGCCAAACGGTCAAATGAACCGTGTCCATATAGGATAGTCGAGCCTCGACGGCAAAACATGTACGCATGTATCAACTATTTAAAGAAGCATTCCGGTTATATCAAAAACACTTTGTATCTCAAAGAAGTTTGCTATCATACGAGCTCTACACTTATAATCCTATGGGAAGCGGCTCAAGGGCCAAAGCACCAGGAAATACTCGAGGATTGACACTGACAGTCAATACATCCGAGTCTTCGAAAGTTCGGACTCATAAGACCTCAAAAAGGCACCCCCTCGAAACACCCCTCGAAATAAAGGCCAAGGCCAATATACTCGGGGACTAACTTTTCGAACAAGTTCGGAAAGTTATCGGAAAACAAGTCCAAGTGACAAAACCGAAGGCTACGGCCATACTAAAGACTACGGTCACATAAAGGCTGCAGCCAAAATAATGCGATTCGGAGACGTCCGACTTCCGCTATAAATTAAAGGCCTTCAAACATTGAAAAACCAGTTAAGTCAGGCTACCCCCCGCAAAAGAAAAATATAAAGGGCTTCGATAAATTCGGCCCCTGAAAAATCTAAGGGCTTCGATAAATTCAGCCCTCGAATAATCCAAAGGCTTCGATAGCACCAGCCTTCGGAAAAACCTCAAGAGGTATTCAATTATATCTACACAAACAAAATGACTAATAAGGTTCCGATACATTGAGCCTTCAAAAAACCCAACGGGTATAAAAACACATGCTAAGGCATAACTAAAATTTCACTAAGTCTTTTATCCGAAAAGAGGGAAAAATTATATAGCCATTTTAGAGTCCAAAACAGCCCAATTCAAAGAGCCTAAGGGCCAATTTTAAAAGAGCCTAAGGGCCGATATACAAGAGCCTTATGGCCAGCTTAAAAGAGATATAGGACCAAAAGCTTATGGGACTCCGAGACTCCATTCTCATTCAACTCGGACCCAAAGGCCCCATTGTTCCGAGCTCACCTCAAATTGATTTTAAAGCTTAGCTCGAGGATCATCTAAAACCTTAAGGGGTACGAACTTGAGCATTAAAAACCTAAGGGTTTATTACGAGTCTGAACCGATACTCGAACTAAGTATTTGAATCATCGGAATTTTCCACAAACAGGGACAAAATAAAAGTCAACACAAATCAAGGATAGAGCAAAAAGATACTTTATATTCATAAGGGAAAATTACAAAACATATTTACAACTCCCGCAAGGGGCCCTTGCACAAGAAAGAAAGCCTAATCTATTTTCGAGGTCACACCCCCGGGAGTGTCGTCTTCAGAAACTACATCTCCAGCGGATCTATCTTCGGGAGTCTCATCTCCTTCGGGAACATCTTCTTCACCTTCCTCGTCCCCGGAGCCACTCACCACATCCTCATTATCGGAGGAGACAAGAAACCTAGCATCGGTTTCTCGCGCCTTTGCTTCGGCTATCTCCCCGGCGAGGTTGAACCCTCGGGCATGGATTTCTTCGAGAGTCTCCCTCCGGGCTCGGCACTTAGCCAATTCATTGCTACGTCTTCCTCGGTCAGAGGCCTCCCTCAACTCAGCTTGAACGGCTATGGTTTCCCTCAAGTATATAGAAATAGATTTATCGGCCGCAGCCTTCGTCTTCTCAGCTTTGGCTTTGGCTTGTACAGCTTCAGCCTTAGCCTGTGCAGCTTCGGCCCGGGCGTTAGCCAGCTCGGCCTCCAACCCCTCGATTTTCCTGGCCTAAGCCAGACCCTTCGCTTCAACGCCTCGGAGCTGAGCTTCAGCCGAGGCCAGTTGGGCCGTAATAGCTTCCTTGTTGGCAGCAAGTTGATCCATGTTCTTCTTCCACTGATGACAATCAGCCCGAACTTGATCTACCTCACCCTGGAGCTGCCCAATCATATCTAGCTTTTGCTGCAGCTGAGATATCGAAGTATTAGCCTCCGAAGTAGGGCCAAGAAGGCCGAACTTTGTTAAAATCACAGTTACCTGCTCATCTAGCTCGGACTCACTTTTTTGAGCTTTGGCCAATGTGGTTCGGAGATCCTTAAGCTCTTCTTCCTTCTGGCTACAGAGGAGCCTCAAGGATTTCTCTTCACCCAAAACCTTCTTGAGCTCAGCCTCACATTGGCTCAGCTCAGCTCTAATCTTCACAATGTCCTGTAAGTGGAATGGAGGCATATCAGTCAAAAGAAAAGAAAGGAAGAAAAAATTACGATAAAAAGGGCAAGTCCTTACCCGGGAAAGGAGACGTTGAGCCTCTTCAAAAATGGAGGATGCATGATTAAGGTCGTTGGCATCCTCAATCCCAGCATAGCAACCCTGAAAAGGATTGTCCTCGATAATCTTATTTGGGTCGGGCATACGCAAAACGTTGGCTTCTTCGATTGCCCCCTCAGAATAAGTTGGAAATGAAAGGGAGTGACCCATTGTCGCGGCGCCGAGCTCTTCACTTGGGGCGTTCTCATTAACATTGGGAGACTCAGCATTTACCCCCTCTGGTATAGTTGTTGAAGACGGAGGGACAATCTCGACCTCCGGGGATGCAGGGACCTTGCCCGTTTCTTCCTTCGGGGCATCCTCACCGCGGGACGAGGTTTCCGGTTCGGAAGGCTTGGCGACCTCGATTGGCTTCCTGGTCCGAGTCACCAGCGCCGACTCTTCATCATCATTTTCTTCATCATCCGGGGAGTCATGGGCCGAGTCTGCGCCCGTTTGAGCAAATCTTTTCCGCAGCCTTTGAGCGGGGGTTTTCTTGTCTTGAGGGCCTTCAGGTTTCGAGACCCTTTTCTTTTTTTGTCCTTCTCGGACTTCGGATTTGAAGGCTTGGTTTTTTCCCTGGGCGGAGCCGGCCTCATCTCGGATGCATCACCAAGGCCTGCACAGGCAAGCGTGAGTAAGTAAAAACGCCGCCAATGTATGGAAAATGTTGAAATTGCTGAAAGGAACTAAGCATGGTTCTTGGCCTCCCACTGGCCCTTCAATAATTCACGCTACTTGCGCTCATCGTAAGAAGAAGTGGCAGCTAACTTTCGGACCCAATCCTCGAGGTCGGGCACCGCTAAGGGCGCCCAAGCATTAGCTGCCAAAAGAAAGATAGAAGCGTTATGGAAAATGGAAGCAGAATATGAATAGATACTATTGATACCCAATTTTTCCCTAAGTATTTTTATGTACTCAAAATATCCTCAAAATAGCATATACATGCATATATAAGCATTCCCAAGAGTTTTGGTATTTTTCCTTATTTTAAATGAATTTATTGTCTATTTTAACAGTACAAAATCCAATAATTATTCCCAAAATTATCATTTTTTGTGAATAAATTATTTTATTCTCATATTTACACCAAATATAATTAAGGTAATTTTTTGTATATTTTTACAAATTTGTTTGGTATTTTTAAAGCTAAATTGCATGTAATTGCAATTATAGCCCATCTTGTGATTTATGACATTTTACGTTTATATAATTAGTCCCAGTATTTTTTTAATTAATATTTATATAATACTTATTTATCCAGTACGTTTAATTTGTTTTTAAAATCAGTAATAACATTTTTATAAAATTAAAAGGGGAAAATTGGCTATTTACAATTTGGCCTTATTGCATTTCAATTTTAGCCATTTTGGCACTCCATCTCAGCCCCAATTTAAAAACCCAATTACCCAGCCCAATTAACACGTCTACCCGATCCAAACCCTTTCTATCATACCCAAACCCGTTCCCCATTTAACCCGTTTAATCCCAGCCGTTGATCCTTTAGATCAACGGCTCTCCTCTTCCCTTTCCTTTTTTAATTCAAAAGACCCTAAAACCCTACCTCATTTTTTCTCGACCGCCGCCTCTGAATCCTCTCCTCTCTCAACTCTCTCTCAACTTACCCCAAACCCTAACCGCCGCCTCTCCTCAAAACCCTAATCTATGGCTTCTCAGGTCATCGGAGGCCTATACTAGCCTCTCATGGCTTCTGTGTGCTCGCTTCTAAAGGTCCAATGACAGATCTTGAAGGGTTTCGACAGCTTTGTTTCGTGACTGTTCTCCGGTCGTTCTTCAACCTTTTGGTCCGGCCAGTCGGGCTATTCAAGTTCGACCTTCGACTTCTTCTGCTCGATCAATGGCTTTTCCCAAAGGCTATTCGTCAAACTGGGTTTCTTAGCGAAACCCTAATCTCTAAGTTTCCTTCGATTTATTTTAGATCTTCCTGACTATGTGTGTTGTGAACCTTCTATGCGTTTTTTCTCGAAGATTCTTATATTTTTGCTTTCAGAAATTCTTTTATTTTCAACCTAGGGTTTCAATGTCTTAAAGTTAATTTCAAATCTCTTTCTAATTCTCGACAATGTTTTACTGGTGTTTTGTTTGTTGTTATTTAGCATGTGAAAAACCCTAATTTTCTTGGGGATTTTTTTGAGTTTTTCTTGGTCTGTTTGTTATGGTCGCTTGATTTGCCTAATTTTTATATCTAAGTTTAGCATGTGAAAACCCTATTTTGGGCTTATCCGAGGTTCTTGAACCATGTTTATTTGTTTATTCTGCTTATCTCCCTCCTAAATTCATTGATTTTTGTTGAAAACCCTAGTCTCTTTGGGGATCATTCAATTTCTTTGAAGTTGTTTGTGCAACTCGTCAGTTTGAAATTGCAGTAAATGCCTTCAATTCTCTTGACTATTTTGGTTCTGAGTTCTTTGCATGCTTCTGATCTTCTTCTTTATTGTTAAAACACTGAAACTTGACCATCATGCTTCGAATGTCTTCTTTTGGTTACTACTATATGCTGTTATTTTGCCATAACTTGGCTTCACGTGTCTATTACTTGTGCATTCATTTATATATACTGAGTTCCTTCTGTGATTGATTCTCAAAACTTGTGATCAATTTTCAAAACTTTTCCTTTGTGAAATGCTGATTTTTACTCGCCTGTTAAGGAGTAATTGATTCTTTTCCTTGATTGGCCTCCCTGAATCTTTTCAAAAATAATTTCAAACCTTGTACTTAGACTTAATTGCCCATTGCATTACCTTACTGCTTCTCTTATGGCAACAGCCATTCTATTTACAAGGCTTATTCTCCCTTTCCTTATTTAAATCCTGTTAGTATCCGTTTGAATAAGAATCCCCTGATTAAAGGAGAGTCTTATACTAATTTGATTCTGATTTGTGACCATGCCATATTTGTGATAGACTTGTATTTGTTACCTTATTTCTCTACACGTTTTTAAAGCTATAAATACTCTCCTCCCTTTTCTTTGAACACACACGAACACAGAATACCATCTGAGTTCACAATTCCCTTTCACTCTCTCTTTCTGATACTCACACTGCTGTGGACTTTACTCGCTTTCTTCTGCATTCTTTACTTCTATACCGGTATGTTTCAATTAGTTTATATGCCCCAAGAACAATGTGTTTAATTTTGTCCACATGTTTTCTAGCATATTATAACGTGTTTCCCCTTCTCTTACAGTCCAGCATTTAAATAATCTGTGCAGTTGTTTGTTTGTTGTGAATATGATGCTTTATGAATTCCCTTACCCCTTTTACCCCTTTGTATGTGAGTTTATTGTTCAGGGCATAGCAGCACCCCAATATTGCTGTCTATGATCCTGAACTGGGTTCATTGAACTCCTTAACTCAATCAATTCCCACTTCCCATTCTCCCATTATGTGCTTGAGCCTTGACTTAGGTCTGATAGTGTCCTAATCACTATCCAGACCTTTGTCTGACCATCAAAAGGTCTGCTCCTAACTTGTTCATCTAGCAAGTAGTCAGGGCTGTGCCAGCCTACCTTATGGCTAGGTATGACCACCACTTGTCATGGCCCCCTTAATTCCCTTTCACTTTGCACTTACTCCTAGCTATAAGTTCTGCCCCTCTCTTGCAAGCCATGCTTTGGGACCCCTGAGCTCCCTCTGAACTTGGATGCCTGAGGGCTGGCTATTCCACACTGCATCATCCTGTTCATAATGGCATCCTGGGTGTAAGCAATGCCTGGAATCCCTGAGGTTCCTTGAAACGTTGAAACACCCTGGATAATGAGAAGGCTTTGGAGATCTGGACCCCGGAGTTGGTTAAATACATATTATTGGACATTAAGATTGAATTAGGCTGCTTGGATCTAGCTGTTAGTTTTTGATGTATTTTTATTATTTCAGTTGATTCATTGGGTTGTAATAATTTGTATAGAACTCGGGGAATCTAGTAAAAGGGTGTGGGAGGGGTTTTACTTTCTTGCATCAATAAAGGGTAGATATCATGACTTTAGGACTTTAATTTTTCTACTAGAAATACTGCACATAAGATGGTTCGATGTTTCTGATTCAAGTCACCTAGATACCATGCCTATAGGGTTTAACGTTTAATTATGATATAAGTCATCTAGAAATCCTGCCTATAGGACCTTAACGTTCATGTAATCAGTGCATATAGAAATCATGCCTATAGGGAATGCATATGCATTAGGCAAACTGTAGGGTAAGTAAATAATTACCTCTTCTTACAAGTTCTTAACAGACCTTTTTTAATCAGATATAGATATCATAGGATTCCGCATCAAGTTCGTCTGATTCTTCTTAAGCAATAACAATCTGTTAACTGGTCTCTAATGTCTTAATGTTTTCAGCCTCAATCTTTTGACGAAAACTCTTTTGAATCAGTATACATTTGAGTTTTTCAAATCAGCACCTCTTCCGAAATGGTTTCTTTCTAAAATTCGGCTTAAACATTTTCCAACTAAGTTTTGGTCTTCCTGAAATTGTCTTTAAAACAGGTCTGCAGTTTACTCTTTCCTTAAGTAATTCTGACTCTGGAACTCCTTTTATGGTTTATACTCATGATTCTCTTAAAACTTATTTCTAAACTGACTGCAGTCTGTACTTTCCGGCATTACACTACTTTTCTAGAACCAATACTTTCTAAATCACTCGCTTAAAATACCTTAAGGTCGTACAATTGGATCCAAGTTGCCTAATGTGGGCTTCCTGTCTAAACGTATGTATCGAACCAGTCCGCTCGCTGCTTAATTTTTAATTTTAAAGACCATAACCAGTATGTGTAAAGGCATGCTAAACTAGATGTTATCTGATTTACGGGGTTTATACGAGCCTTACCTGTTTGTATGTTCATTTCCCCTACTTGTTACTTGTTTTTGAATGTCGATTAGAATTTTTGTCCTTTAAACTCCATAAAGGCCCCATCCCTTTCTTCCCCTTTTAGGATTAGAAGTCCTAATGCCCCGGACTGATAGCTTGGGACGGGTAATAGCATGCAATAGGCAAACGATACCATTCCGCGCTCCAATACCTTAACGGGGTGGGAAAGGGTAGACATGGAGATGATGATTACACGATAACACTATGCGTACAATTGAGTACCAGTGTTGTGCGAATGATCCATGTAATATATAAACCTAGGACCCCCCTGCCTCTTTATTAGTTTAACAATTTTCTGAATCTTAAAAAGCTGTTGGACTTTCGACTTCTGATTTTCACTTAATTTTCAGATTGTTCGCACTAAGTACTTGACTTCTTCCTACTTGCACTTTTAACTAAACTGCTCTGTCCCTAAAATTCAGCACTTTTTTTAACCTTTTGTGCTCCTTATTTGTAATAATTTTCTCGTATTTGCAATGCTTGTTTGTTTGCATTAAAAGTCACAATTGTAGCATGGCCGGGAACCACACTAGTGGATCTTGAGGGGTGCTTAACACCTTCCCCTCGAGATAATTTCTAGCCCTTACCCAAACTCTGGTTCTTCATCTCAAATTCTTCCTTAAAGTGTCCTAATGCACTATAATCATTAGGTGGCGACTCTTCAAACTCCAAAAAACCCAATTCTCGCAAGGGAATAGAGTTGTCCTCCCGAATATCGTGAACCCGATTCCGCGAGGAAAAAGGGGGCGTCGACAGATACGGGAATACGGACTCCACTTACGGCTAAAGTTCTACCTCTCCGGGAACGGCATTTTATCTCCGGGGATGACGTCCGAAGTTCTACTCTAACAAACCGACTCATCCAACCCCGATCTTTGGGTTCGTAGGTACTGGCAAAGAAGGCTTTCGTTGTTCGGCGTTGCAGCTTGATGAGCCCTCAAAATAACTGGGGCCGATATAATCGAACCAGGTGGCTGAGGGTGAATTCCAAACCCTCGGCCTTCTTAGAGAAATACCGCAACATGATCACGATACGCCAAAAAGAAGGGTGAATTTGGCCGAGGGTGACTTCGTACCTTTTCCAGAATTCAATCACCACCGGGTCGAGGGGACCCAGTGTGAAGGGGTAAGTGTAGACACTTAAGAACCCCTCCACGTGGGTAGTAATGATTTCGCCGGGTTTCGGGATCTGAACCTCGACCCTATCTCCCCAACCACAGTCCTTCTTTACATCCTCGACAAGCTTCGTCGTTATCAAGCTAATATATCGAGACGCATGTTCGCATCGACCTGGGACATCAGGGGGATTCTCAATACTAAAGTCCTTCTTAATAATGCAAGGACCAGGGGTGATCTCCTCAAGTGTTGGCGGCACCACCGGTCTGGCCGGCCGGGAGGCAGAAGAAGACGATGCTTTGTCCTTTTTGGGGACCGTCTTGGAAGTTTTGGCCATAGTTACAAGCTAAAGAATATAGATTGCACAGGGGTGTATTGTCTCTGGCAAGAGCTTGACGTTTTTCGACGCTTAAAAAGGCGGAGGAAATGGGTGATTGGAGAAAGAGATGAAGATGGGAAAGGGATGAAGAAAGAGTAAAGTTCTTTACTTAGAGGAATCGCCTCATATTTATAGAAGGGAAACGACGGATCGGCGGCATTAGTGGCCGACCAATACTGGCATGCATTCAATGTTTTTGGGGAAGCGGACCGACGGGAAATTTCGATCACTTCGAATGCTTGCATCACAGAGATGACGCCATCACTAAGGACTTCGAATATCCAAATCGTTTCATATCATTTCATTCTAAGAATTGTGGGGACTATCTGTATGCAGTAGAAATCGGAGAGCTCGATCTCTAAGATTGGATTACACTCCGAGTCCGAGTTCTGGAAGCTCGAAGTAAGAGTCAAGCCAGGCCCGGATGAGCGCACCTCGAGAAGAAAATCGGGGACCCGACATGATCTGCCTCGAGGGCAGTACAATTGCGAGGACACTTAAGAAAGAGCGGAAATTTCCAAGAACACGTGGGTCAGGGTATAAAGTAAGGGATAAGATTTGTACGAAATAGTACAAGTCCGTACTAGGTTGTTATACAGTTGTACCAATAGAATTCTTTACCATAATTGAGAATGTACCATATTAGGGTTTTCCCCTCCTATTAAAAGGAGACCCTAATCATTTGTAAGGAGATCTCATTCTCTGCAATAGAACATTCTATTCTGCTTTTCTTGTTTACCGTGCTCAACAATTGTTCTTCAGCTTTATTGTCTTTACTTTATTGTTCATACTTTATTGCTCTTAGCTCACCTCGAGGCCCCTGAGATAATCGAGCTGGAGGTCCTTATTGCTCTAACAACATTGGTTTGGTCCATCAATTCTTCTTACTTAAACTTAATATTATTTGTACATTCACTAGTATTGGAATAAATCACATATCTTTAAAACCACAAATCATATTTAATTGTTACTCACATTTTTCGTAAACATCGTTAATATATATAATCTATAATATTTTCTTACAAATTATATTATTTATAAATTTATGGTATAAAATAATTTTATATTAAATTATATGTGATGAATATGTAAGAAAGAGAAAAAGATAGATTGAATTAATAGAAACAAGAAAATAAAATTTAAATAAAAGATAATAATATAATATTGAAGAGAGAAGAATATAAAATCGAATATTCTTTTTTGGCGTAAAAAATGAAGTAATGCTTGAAATAACTTTACTGTAGTTTGAAGAAAACTGCATTTTGGAGGAGAAAATGAAAGTTAGGGTTGGAGATTAACGCTTTAGTTTTCTTATCCCAACTTCATCGAAATCAGCACAAAGAGGTCCCTTCTCATGGAAAACGGAGATATTTGTTGCCTCATCTTTTGGTCCACCACATCTTCACATGCACCTTTTCAATCCCAACACCCCATATGCATTAAGAAAAAGGAAAAAAGATATGCTTGTTTCCTTCGCTCAGATAAAGAAGGAGACAATGCACAAGCAGGCGTATCTAAAAACAAGAAATTAAAATTCATTCTTTGTTAGAAAGAAAGCAGAAAGGAACACTTAGGCATGAACTTGGTTTAAGCGCCCCCATTAACACGCCTCAAACTTTGTAAGTTTCCAATGAGTCTAATATTAGTCTTTGTCAGCACTCTTTTGCATCCCTGTTACAATATTGACAACTAATACTACCCAAAACTAATTAACCACACACTAGTGCAGCTCGCAAGACGGCAAAATAGCATTAGAACAAAGGCCTAATGAATGACCGCATTCTATAACATGAACTACCTAAACTAGTTTTTGAAATTCACCATGAAGGAGAAGTGTAAGGAGATCCTGAGGATAACGAAGTGTTGTTACTGTTGGAAGTTCCAGAAGTGCCGAGTGACCTAGCATCTCTTAGTGAAACTGAACATGCCACAGCTGGAAGTTTCTTCATTGGAGTTAATGGGAGTGAAGAGGGACTAGATAATGATGATTGGCCACTACCATTGTCGTCTTTCCCAGAAGAATGAATTTTTTCGAGACGTGAAGGCAATGAATCAGGCGTTTCAAATAGGGTATCACCTCTGCTAGGCCTGCAGGCTTCGTTATCGTAAATGGGATTGGATATGTATACTAATTGCTTCTTTGTAGCACCACCGTCAACTCCTTCAATGTCACTACTAGTGCTGCACTGGAGTGGAAATTGATGGACTAGTTTAGGGGATAAATTCGAAATGAAGGGATGGGAATGTGGTGAAGAAAAAATAAGCCCAACTTGATGATGAATGGAGGAGACTTGCGGAGAGCTTTGCATTTCAAGGTCGAACTTGTCGTTGCGAGTAACTGCAGGGATGAGAAAGTTTCTAGGAGCATGAAGAACCCCTTGCGCATAGAAGTCACTGAGAGTTGAAGCAGTTGAATGGTTTTGTTGTTGCCGGGGTGGTTCCTTGGAGCTTTGGGCCGCAGTAGCGGAGGTGGTGGAATTCAGAGGTGTCTTTTGGAGCTGTCGTCCTTGACGAATTAAGAGTGAGCAGTAGAGCTCAGCAAGTAGAACTAAGACGAGGCCTAAAACTATTGCGAGGCTCACCACCATTACTAATGTTGCTGCCATTACAACGCCTGGTTTACCCTACAATCTCTCTCTTTATATATATATATATAATCAACAACAAACCCAGTGTATGTCCACAAGTAGGGTTTGGGGAGAGTAGTGTATACGCATACCTTACCCCTATCTTTAAGAAGGCAGAGAGTCTGTTTCCGGTAGACCCTCGACTCATGAAAGATAAAGGAAGGGGCAATGATAAGCAAACCAATCAGAAAACCAAGCGAAAACACAAAACTAACACTAGGTAGTGCAAATAGAAAACCAAAACGAAGGCAACAAAAAGTAATAACACAAGTCTAGAAATACGAAAATACACGAAAGACACTAAGCGATGTACTAAAGCAACTATAACAAACAATAACAAAGCTTGGCCACCTAACCCTCTACCCTAACTCCCTACCCCCCCCCCCCCCTCCCTCTCTCTATATATATATATAATATATATATATATTTATCTATCTATCTATGTGTGCTGATATGGGTGTTGAGAAACAAGATAATCTTGTAAAATAAAAGTGACTTTGGAAGCGTGAGGAAATTTTGGCGGGAAAATAACATTTTTACTCGTGTGTGAGTTGAGAAAAGCAATGCCAGATAGAAGGAATCCAAGGGAGTAGTAGTAGGAGAAAAGCTTTCGTAAGTACATGCCCAAGCTTTTGCTCTGAGCAAACGAGGGCTTTCTGACAGCAAGTCAATTTGGCCAACTTTTTAGGAAAACAAAACATTTGTCTGTGCTCTTTACTTTCGAGTTGAAATAGGTCTCCTTGCTGACAAAAGAAACCACGTCTAAGCTGCCACTAAACAAATAATACCAGTCAAATGCTTCCTTCAATAGTATTTTCAATCTTTAACGCAAAAGACAACTTTATCTTAAGTCCACGAAAGCAGCACTCCAGTAGGGGGGGCACGCATACATAGGAACAGTAACTCAAAGAATCTCATAGCCTCAAAGATCAAGGTTACATATGAATAATGAATGTTTACAGTTTTACAATCAACTTGTACACAAATGGGATATAGAGCAAGGAACAGCTAAAGCCGTAAATGTGCCTGGACATTTGTTACGCCATGAAACATGTTATATGATGCAGCTCTAGGCCTCCTACCTGTAGTATTAGGAAACTTGTGCCTATGAGAACATCAAGATGAATATTTTGGGTACAGGTTGTCAAGTAATACAGGTTCCAAGTTAACAGGTTCCAGTCAGTAAACAGCTAAGGACAAGATCAACCTGTGTAAATGAATGTGAAGAGGTAACACACACAGAGTAAACAAAAATGGTTACCATTCCCCAAGGTTAACCTATTATTAAAATTATCGGCCTCTTAAAGCAGCAAATCGGGCAGTCAAATCATCATAATCTGGTAGTTTTGGATGCACATGACATGCCTGGTTGTCTGGCTGAAATGAATTGGCACGAGCAAATACCTTTGTTGCCTCTGATGGAGCAGTTTGCTCATGTGGGAGGGAAATAGATCTTTTGGGGAAAGGAAGCATATCTGATCCCATTTCATGTTGATCTCTGTTGGTTTGACTATTTGAGGATTCATCAGGAGTTGTCAGATGTGAAAGATGAGCTTGTGGCTTTTTCCTCAAAGTTTCCACATCACATTTTGATGGTTTTTTACTGTAATGCAGCAACAGTTTATCTATCATTCTTTCCTCATCATCTTTCTGATGGCTTTCATCCTCAAACAATATCTGCAAGCCTTTCCTCGAATGTTCCCTTCTCCGGCTACTTGAACTTTTCTTGACCACTCTGGCATCTTCAGACTTCCCCTCTTCGCCGCGATTTGACACTGATTTATGGTGCTTTCTCCTTACAGATCTTGGTTTTGGCAAGGTCAAACCATCCTTATGAGAGAATTCTTTCTCATGACCGTGACTATTTAGTACAGGAAACCCAGTTTGAGCCTCATGATCAGGAAGATCTGATTCTTTATTGGTCTTGTTTGTATCAAGTTTATTGCATGGAGAGGTACTTCTGAAATGCCCATCATATTCAGAAGCAGACTGCTTAGAACCCTTAGGGGCTCTTTCTTTGCTATCACTTGGTTTTACATAGGGAGGAGGAACGGCTTTCTCTTTGGACTTAATATATGGTGGAGGGAGAGCAAGGTTGGCATAGGATGTCAACCTATTTCCATTTTCCTGCTGAACCATTCTTGTTGAGTTAACAGTATTCTTTTCAAAGGCTGTGTTCCAAGCAGAAGAGACATCATCAGTTTTGAAAGGGAGTCCCCTACTCTCTGATCTTTCCATGAGAATCTGACCATGATTTTCATTGTATCTAGTGAATTTATTATCAAAACTTTCTAGCCTCTCCCCATGTGATGAACTGCCTGATTTTGCTTTCTTTATTGAATTATCATCTTTCTCTAGGACTGCTTTGTTTCTTGCCCTTGTCAGTTCCACCTCTTTATCAAACAACATATCATGTTTTCGCCCCTTGAAATAACTAGCTTCCTGCTTTATAAGCGATTTATTTCCTTGCATATTTGATTCATTCGTTTCAGAGGAATGAAGATCCCGCTGCTCTTTCTTTAAGACAATACCATCTCTGCCAGTCTGTATATAATGTTGATCATTAAAGCCCTTGTGCCTTTCACCAAGTGCAACATCGAGTCTATCAGTTTTTGAACCACCACCCTTGCCACTTGGTAGGATGTGGTTTCCAGTAGAAGAATGTGAAGATCCACTGCTGTTTGGTTTGGCCTACAATAATCAAGGAAAATGCAATGCTGAAACTTCACTTGTATCTATATTTGGGGAAAAGTTATGTTTCATTTCCCCAGATAGTTGTTGTTGAAAGAAGTAGCAAATTAGGATACTTAAGGATGAACGTTCATTTTGGAGGCAAACACTAACAACAATTTTACACCTTTTAGCAGCCAATGGTAATCTCAGTTTTGAACAAAAAAGATGTACCTGTGCAAGTGCCATCCTTTGTTGAAATCCCATGGAGTCCCACCTTATAGAAAATTCTAAAGCTATATCTTGCAACAACTGAATTCTCTTCTCCATTGCAGGGGGTCTTGAAGATAATTTCTCGACAAACTAATTGCACTGAAGTAAGTCAGATATAAAAGACAGATAAAACAAGATGTGTAGGACAGTATAATAAACAAATTACCTTCTGGTTAACAAAACATTCTAAGGAGTTCCCATATCTCTCCTGAAATAAATCCCTTAGCTCTCTCAATTCTGGCAAATCGGAGAATCTTGCTGCAGCAAACATCAATGATGCCACAGCTTCTCTGCAGTCCTCAGGACAGTCCCTGGATATAGACAGTATGTGTCAATTACTTACTATCATATTTGGGGAACAATGGTTTTGTTAAGTGTCCTGCATTGGTCAAGGGAAGGATTGTTGTCTCCTTACATGATCTTGGGTTTTCTCACCTCATGAGCTACCTTTTGCGATTTGAGTTAGGCCCAGTGTTGTCAAAGGCAAAAATTGCTAAAAAGTGCTCGAGCTCTATTTGGTATTAAGCTCAAAGCGCAGTTAAAGTGTGAGCTTTAGTTAAAAAAGGCGCAATGAAGAAAAAATAAAAATATATATATAATGCGAGAAAAAAGTGACAACTTCATTAATAATGATTTCCTTATTAATTAATATATCTTTTTGTCAAACATATTTGTTGCTTAGTACCCGCTATATTCAAGATAGAACTTATGGGCAATGAGCTGCATGCCTTAGTGCCTTATCTACATTAAAAGTGCAACCTAAGTGAGACGAAACATCTGCCTTGAGCTTCTTTGAGCTTCAAGGCTTAAATGCGCCTCAAATGGACTTTTGACAAAACTGGACTTAGGACCAAGATCTATTTTCTTAATATGGAACCAGAACCAGACCATTCCTCCTATTCTTGGTTTATCCAAAATTGGGCTCCCATTTCTATTGTCCAAGCACCAAATGTCCAGCTTAGCATGGGGGTGTTGTTAAGTGTCCCGCAATGGTTGAGGGGGTTGTCGTCTCTTATGTAATCTTGGGCCATCATCATCGCATGAGCTCACTTTTTGAGTTGATAAGAAACCCAAGGCCCATTTTCTCAAACAAGTTTCACCTCTTTGGCCAGTTGCGATGTCCAATAGTCATAATCAGTGTGTTAAAAAAAGAAGTGAAACGGTTGTAATTCACTGTAAGATCTTTCTAAAGAGACAAGAACTCACTGTAAGACCTTCTAAAAGAGGCAATATTTAAGGATACAATTTACGGTTAACCTTTAAAGCCTTACACAAGCTAGATTTAGCACAGAATGGAAGTTTCAGTACAATCCCATTAAAATTGAGGATGTATGGAGAAACTTTGGTTTGTCTAGTCAACAAGGCATTTCACTGGGAGCACCTTGGTTTGAGATCAGATTATACTGCTTAAACGACTAGAAAAAAGTGAAACGGTAAGAAACCGGTGAACTCAACCGCACTCTCTACTTGACATTTAACTTACTAAAGTTCATTGATGGTAAGAAGTGCGGAACTTTCTGAGAATTTCCATCAGTCAATTGATGGATCTTTCAAAGTCTATGCCATGTCACCTTCGTCCCAACATAAGATGCTGATAAGTGATGGTCCAGTTTGCAATAAGATGGCACTTCCAGATTAAAGATAGTTAGGCCCAATCTACAGAAAAGAATATTGTCTATGATGATGTATTTGGTACTAAATCTGGCCTTTCCTTTTAAGAATTCACAACAAACAACTGGTTGAGCTTGAAATAAAATGCATGGACCAGTGGGTGATCCGTACATTGTGTAGTTAGCTTTTAGCCAGTTAATTTACATGAAAATATTGTTTATCACTTTGAGTAAGAACAAACTACCAAATATGAATATTTAAACAAGTTCAACAAATTGAATTCACATTCTTCATAAGGTTTCAAGAAACTACAAAGTCCTTTTGCATTGTGTTGCATCATGACTCATGTAAAGGCTCATGTGCGACTTGCTTAATTGAAGCCTTAAGGTAGCTCGTTTTCCAATTTAGTTAGATCTCTCGTGGTATCCTATTTAAAAGAATTACTCGTATCTGTTACAAACCAGATGTTCCCAAGTAGAAACTTTTTCCTTAACCAACCTTTTTTTTATAAATAATTGTGTAATCCACTATAGAGATTAAAATTGCATTGAATGAAAGTAATGATATACCTTAATTTCTGCATGTAGGAGAGCTGCTTTACAATATATTCACAAGATTGTTCCACAAAGTCGTAGCAGGATAAGAGGCTCTGCCCTAGCAAAATTTCTTCAGTCTGCCTCACCTCGTCAGAAATCATTAAACCACATTAGATTCTAATTTTTCAGGATATAAAAGAGTGTTTAAAGAAAAGAAAGAATGCAATAAGCCTTGACTTTTCATTT